AAACCTTGCTGTCTGCATTCAGGTGGGTGATCTGCAGCTGCACCATCACCCCTTGCAGAAGGAAGCAAACTCTGCCATTTAATGCCTTGGTATTCACTGCTAAGTTCGGGCTAACATATGCTGAGACTGTATGGATCAGAGCTGCAGTAAGAATTACTGTGTCTTATAATTCGTGTCAATATAACTTTTATATCACAACAGCACTGAATGAAACAGCAGAGGCAGTCGTGCTACCCTGAATGTTGGCTGGCACTGGAAATAATATACTGAGCACTTGCAGAGCAACAGTTACAGCCTTCAGGATAAAATGAGCACATCTTGCATTACATGTGTTTGGCTCCTTAATGAAGGATTTTACAGGTTGCTAAGCCACTCTAAAGCACTCGTCTTGATTTAAGTCCTGAATAGCCTGAAGTACCACACACACATTTGAAAGTTTGGCTGGTGGCACTAAGGTAAATAGTCCCCGCAGCCTCACAGCTGCCCACATTGAACATTTGTTGTTTGTTTTCCAACACCCCTTTTTCTCCTTGTTTGCTCCATGAACAACACTGTTACAGGAATTAACACTGACTGGTGCAACCTAGACCTTCTAATTCCTATCAAACTTCAGTGTCTTTAGGTTTCACAAGCACACTTCCAGTCAGGGAGGAAACTGGGAAGCCTGGGGGACACACTGTCCTGAAAGTGGGTGTTTACCTGTCCCCCTCCCTGCCGAAAAAAGTCCATGCTACACTTTTGGGTTTGAAAACAGAACGACCAGTAGAGGTGCCTGGAAAAACCTTAGTTCACAACTAGCCACTGCAAAAATTCCTGTAAAACCCCCAATACCAGTGCAACATTCTTTGCATGGGACTTGCAGGTCAGCCTGAGTGGCAGCATTTTGAATGCCTGGTGATCCTAAAGCTCTTTAAAGAGCTTTAAACTAGATTTGAAAGGGGAAAGGGATAAAGCCAGGCTTGCTAGAGATAAGGCTGGGGAGAAGCACACCGATATTTGAGGGACAGTGTGCTAGTGAGGCCCTTTGGTCTGCCATCTCAGAGGAGGTAGAGGGTGAAGATCCATGTAGAAGCAAAGATGCAAGGATTATCGATGTATTAGAAGCCATGGGTGTGCCTGAGAATGGTCAGGTAGGAATTAGGGCTTCTCCTCCAAAAAAGGTGCTGGGATCAATAGCCCAACTGAAATGCCTCTACACCAATGCATGCATCATGGGCAGCAAACAGGAGAATTTGGGAGTCACCATACAACTGGAAGTCTATGGTATAGCTGCAGTCCTGGAAACATGGTGGGATGACACACAACTGGAGTGCTGCAATGGATAGCTATAAGCTCTTCAGAAGGGATACGGAAGGAAGGAGAGGTAGTGGTGTAGCCCTGTGTGTTAGGGAGAGTTTTGACTCTCTAGAGCTTGATGGTGGTGATGGAAGGGTCTAATGCTTATGGATAAGAATCAGGGGAGAGGCCAACAAGGCAGCTATCATGGTGGGAATGATATAGACCAGGATGAAGAGGCAGAAGAAAGCAGCTGGGAGAAAACTCACAATTGCTAGCCCTTGTTCTCTTGGGGGATTTCAACTTAACCAGACGCTTGCAGGAAATAAAATACAGTGGAGAGGAAACAGCCTTGGAGGTTCCTGAAGTGTATGGGAGGTAGATAACTTCCTGACACAGCTGGTGAGGGAGCCAGCTAGGGAAGGCACCCTGCTGGACTTGTTGTTTTTGAATAGAGAAGGGCATGTGGGTGATGTGATGCCAAAGGCCATCTTGGGTCCACTGATCATGAAATTATGTCAGTTCTTGTAGAAGTAAGGAGGGGCATTAGCAGAACTGCCACCTTCCAGAGGGAAGACTTTGTCCTGTTTAGGAGCCTGGCTGACAAGCCCCTTGGGAGGTAGTCCTGAAGGACAAAGGAATCCAGGAAGGCTGGACAATCTTCACGAAGGAAATCTGAAAGGCACAGGAGCTGTCTGTCTCTGCGTGTCAAATGATGAGCCAGTGGAGAATAAGACTGGCCTGGCCAAACACAGAGCTTTGTCTGGAGCTCAGGAAAAAAAAAAAAAAAAAAAGAATTATTTATGACCTTTGAAAGAAAGGGCAGGAGGACTACAAAGATGTCGTGAGATTATGCAGGGAGAAAATTAGAAGGTCCAAAACTGAATAGCCAGGCAGCCTTATGAAAATGCATCCAGCAAATAGATGAATGAAGGCATTGCAAGATCTTTCCCTTCAAGATAATGCTTCTAGCATCTGATAATCCTGTCTAGCTAAGGGTGTTAGACAGATTAAATATGGAAATAGATGAACCTCAATTATTCTGTGACCCTATGATAACAAATCAGTGGGGTTCTCAAGGGTGAGCTAACCAAGCAGAGTTTACCTTTACACCCATATAACATGAATTAACTTTTTCCCTATTCATCACTAGACAAGTACATTGGATTTTGATTTGTGTGAAAGGTTATGCTTTATTTACCAGCCAAAAGTAATTACTTTTCTTTCTGTTATGAGACAATAGCTCCTAAGTACCCTCCCAGACCCCAACTGTGAGCAGCTTAGGAACTCCCTGAGATGAATCCATTCCCTGTGTATTTATTTTCAATAAATTTATTTTTCATGAACTTGCCTAGACTCCCTTTGGGCTGATGAAAACATTCAATACCCACCCCAGCATCCCATGGCAAGGAGCTCTGCAGGTAACTACACAGCCAGTGAAAACCCTCTCCTTTTGTTTGCTCTGAACATGCCTCCAGGCATTCAGCCAATGCCTCCTCCCACTTGTGGGCCACCAGCTGCAGTCCACCCCTTCCACCCTTTCCACGCCACTCACGGTTTCATAACCACCTGTCATACCTCCTCCTATCAGCCTCTTCTCCAGTCTGAAGCGTCTTGACCTAGTCTTTCCTGTGGTGGAAGTGGAAGTTACCCACTACTTTGGTCATCCTTTTTGCCCTTCTCTGGGTCTTTTTCAGATCTGTCACATACTCCTTAAGTCTGGGCAACCAAAGTGCACCCAGTACTTGATATGCAGATGCTGCTTAGACAAACACAGCACATAATGATGAGATCTGGTGTGTTCCTGTTTCTTTCGTCATGATCCCTACTGTGATTTGCTTTTTTGACCTCCATAGCAAATGAATTTAATCGTTCCATTATTTACAGTTTGTTTCAGTGCTGATGCCTACAGTCATTAGAGGATCAAAAGGTAGACAGATGACAAACACATGTTTCTCAATAGCCTGGAGAATAGGCTACAGCCATTCATTGCCTATACTCACTACTAATTGCATGTTTAATTTCAGTTAAAATATAAAACCAGACACTTATTCTTGAAACAATCCAATGCCAATGAGATTATTAAAATGTATTGTTCACTTTGGGAGCTTCCAGTGACTTTGTGAGCTACAAGACTTGAGCATGTAAAAGTACAGCCAGTATGCTTTATTTCTGACAACTTTTCATGCTATTTTTTGATGTTGTAATTAGAGGAAGAGAAGACTTGAATTTAATGGGATAGCAGATGCATGACCAGAACCATTTACTAAATACCTGTCTCACTTTGTGTTACATATGATTTTTTAAAGGCATCAGCATCTCTGCTGGTGGTTTTCTCACTTATCATCAGACCGCTGAATTAACGTTTAGGATGGAGGCAACCCATATGTGGAATAAAGTAGCTATTGCAACAGCAGGAAAGAGTTGACCTGCTGATTCTTCTGTTAGAGTAGTTTAGGGGAAAAAAAAAAAAAAAAAAGGGGGGGGAGAGAGATGAGAACCACTTTTGCAATGAGAAAAATTATCTCTGAGGAAAAATTCTCTCTGCGTACTGAGCAACCCATACTCCCCTGCCAGTAGGACAGTACCTGTGGGGGAGCAAGAGGAAGATGGGAGATGTTTTAAGCTGCAGGGAAATTTCATTTGTGGGTTTCTGCCGGGATGCACAGAGAGAGAGGCCTCCTTGGCACTGCTTGTCTTCCACGGCATCTTCTTCTGCAACCCTGGCAGCCGGCGCCTGGCTCCTTGACTTCAAACTGGGCCACGTGAGAGGCCACGAAGAGTGCGGGAGCAGAGCACTTGGGCTTGTGGCTTGTTAGGAGAGGTGAGCAGAAGAGGTCTGTCCTGGAAAACAACTCTTCTGGCCTCACCAGGAAGAAAAGGTCCTGTGACCTGCAAACTCCCAGATGCTACCACGCTGAAAGGCTTTAGCTTGTAATAAGGCACACTTCATCACAGGAGGCTGCAAAGCTCAGCCTTGCTGGCCATGCTCCTTGGTGTGGGGCTTGTCTGCTTCCCCCTCTGAAGAGCAGGTCCCCAAACCCCACAGGAGGCACCAGGGAGATGAGGGGGGGAACCCACTTGCTGGTCGGCATGTCCTGGAGCCAGGCTCGAGGCAGCTGCTTGTCTGCTCCACAAACACCTGCAGGCAAGCTGGGCCAACATCAGTGGTGGGCACTGCTCACCATGCCTAGGGGAGCTGCAGGCAGCATTGCTCAGAGGGCCCAGGGGAGCAATGGGACAGACCAACATCGCAGAGGTCTAGTCCCTGCTTTCCATCTCCTTCCTTCTCACAAGATACCACCAATGGCAAGGGTCAGCAGCACGGGCTCGTGCAGGCTACAGAGCTGGGTCATACGCTTTGGTGCTGGAGGCTACTGGGGCTGGAGAGCCCCAACAGGGGAAGAGGCAGCGGAGAGCCTGCTGTGTCCCCAGCAGCACAAACACATCACATCATCCTGTGGTGTTCAAGGGTCCCACAGTAACCAGGTGGAAATGGTACTCCTGCTGTGATGCCCTCACAGGGCAGCCCATGTACACCCCTAGCACAACAGCACAGCCTGGGTCTGACACCCAACTCCACACCGCAGCGCAAAACTGTGCTTAAAAAGCCTCCCACGTGTGAAGTCATGAATGCAGCAATGAAGCCATAAACCAAGAATACAGGTACCAGAGCTTTATTAGATATTTCACTGGATACAAAGAAACTGGATTTTATATTACTCTTTTTTTTTTTTTTTTTTTACATTAAATACACATTCTTGTCATAAAAATTCACATTTGCTATACAGAACTGTAGGCATTTTTTACACAACATTTATTAAAGTACCATTGAATAGATCCTAAAAAGAGAAGGTGCAGCTTTGTGAACCTTTGTGGGCACAACACACAGGGAGCTCCATGTCCTCAGCATTACACAATCATCCTTCCCACCAACATGGAGAAAAGTCATTCAAATACATTAATGCTCATTGGGAATAATAAGGCTTCTGTACAGAGACCCTGAACAGTGTCTGGAGGCAATGTGGCAATAACATCCTAATCATCACCTACACGATTCTAAAGCTACTGGTGACCGAGGCAGTCAAAAACTTAACAACTGTTCTGGCAAGCCCAGATATTTATTCTTTTTCTTTTTAAAATTGTACTTTTAAGCACATATTTCTATTTTCAATAATAATAATTACACAAAACCCCAGAATTCTGCTTGAAGAATCTCAGCTTCACAGCAAAACTGATTTCAGCTACTCGAAGAATCTCTCCTGGTCACACTGACTTTTGTAGGGCCCAGAGCTGAGAGAAGAAACTAGTACATGTCATCTCACTGCAGGAAAAATAAAAAAGCCTAAGTGTACCTCCATCTTAGCAGATACTCATTGGCATATCATGCAATCTGTTTTTAATCTGGAGGGAGAAAGTTTATAACTGAATTCTCATCAGTCAAGGTGAGGCTTCTCATCTAAGAGAACGTGTACATAACCTGGAGTGTGGAGATAAACCATCCCGCAATATTAGATGGGGGACACTGCCATCTTTCAGTCCTGTACTCAACATCTTATTAAGAACCTGTGGACTGAGGTGTACTGAGGATGACAAACCTGTAACACTCAGTTTGAGCAGGGTTGCCCACAGTTAAAGGGATGTGTACGCAGAAGCTGAGATTAGGAGTACTGAGCAGGGGCAATGGAGAAGAATGGGAAGATGCTGCATTTTAACTAAGGTAACAGCAGAAGGTCTGAAATCAGACTTTCCCCTTGCCTCAGTCACTGTTCAGGTGGGTCTGACTGAAGCTGAACTCACACCAAATGTACTGTAGGTTGGGCACACTCTGCCTACTCCTGTCCAGCCAGCCGGGCACAAGGTGGACCCTCTCTTTGTTCAGTACATCTTTCAGAATTACCCTTGGCATCAGCAGAGGTGTTTCAGACAGAAACCACAAAGGGAGAGTTAGTCCTTGCTGTAGGAATGGCAGAGAGGTCATCCCTATGGGCAATGTAGAGATTTCTAAGTGGAGCACTAGGTTCTGTGAGCCACTGGGAAATTATTTTAGCTTGTTTAATTAAAACTGCCACAGCTCCTGAAAGCGGAATGCTGTATGTGGGCAGGCCAGGCCAGGCTGCTCAGCCTCTGACATCTGTTATTTTTACATAAGGATTTTTACAGTCCAACCTAGGCTGGAGCAGAGTTCAAAGCTTTCCTGTGAATTTACAGCTACGTTCCAGCACGGGACATGAGCAATATTGCATAGCATCCAGGCACTTCCCCAAAGCCAGGGTACCACCACCCTGCTATCATGACTATCCCCAGAAGATGAATTTTAGGACATTCAGTTACGAGATCACAGTTACAGCTGGCACCAGCAGGAGCTGTGTGTGCACAGAAGTGGTTTGATCCGTATCACACTGGAAATCATGTCTGTAACACCTTGTACAATCCAGCAAACATCCTATTCTTTATTTATCAATATGTAAGCGAGCTCCAAGTAACTTCAAGCTCAACTCCTTAGTGCCGAAAAGTGAAGGAGTCAGCCTTATGGACAATCCTTGGTAACATTTGAAATCAGGACTGATAATTATGGGATTTAAAGATTATTATATGAATGCATTAAGGCAGGTTACATAACTGCCCTTTCCCTTTAGGATTAATTATTATTTCCTCGTACATTGTAGACAATCCATACTCCCATACACACACATACCTACAAAACAGCAGCACAGTAAAAACTAAATAGATCACTGAACTCCAACATACTTGTAATCAATACGTTGCACATACTATACAGCATATTTAAACCTCATTATTCGGTAAACATATACAATTCAGAACAACATTGACCGTATGTAACACAGAAGCTACCACTGAGATATGGCAAATACATCATATACACTATTAGCTTTTACTTCACTGAAAAGGCGTTTAGAAGTTTAAAATGGTGTTAACTGAACTCTTGAAATCACCAAATAGCTTACTCAGTTGCTAATACCTAGTGCTCCCTATAATATATTCAGGATAAACAGCACTGGAGCTGTGTTTTCAGGGTACCCCACTTTTTTGGTATTGTGGAGATAAACTCCACAATTTTAAATTCCCTTTGCAACACAGCATATACTTACTACACACTGACTATCAGCTCCCCTCTCATCCCAGGGTAAAGGTTTAATAAATACTTTGGAGTTAGTAGAAATGGTCGAGATTTGTATCAGTATGACAGTAAGACTTAGCCCAGCATACAGGATCATACATTCCCTCTCACACACGTATGCATATACATGTATTTATATATACACACACGTGTATGTTCAAAAGAATGGCTTGAAATGGCAGGACCTACAAAACCAGTAATGTAACCAACAGCAAATTAATACAAATAACCCACTGATTTTAAAACTAGGCTCCTGTGGTTTGATTCCGATCCCATCCCTCTTCCACACAAGGCAGGAATCAGACCCCGGGACCAGCTGCTCTTTGGTCCAAATGGCTGCAGGTTGGATCAGTACTGAATAAAGACATCTCAGCTTGTGTAAAACCAAAAAATGGAGCCAGGCAGGTTTACACCAGCTGAGACACTGCATGTGTGCAGCGCTGTCATGATTTTTCAAATATGACTGAAAAGAGAGGATCAAGTAATCACGTGAAAAAGGCAGAAAACAAAAGCCTTGATGTGTATACAATGAACACAGCAAGGGGGAAAATGAGCACAGGAAATAAAAAAAAAAATGTTTTGGCAGAGAATGACGTGACAGTTTGAGTAAATAGATGCTTATGAAGATCAGTAGTGTAGACAGGTATTTTTCCTCTGATGGGCTGATTACAGTCATCCAATTTCCCATGTAAGGTTCCTCATAATACATGTGTAGAAACCTCTCAGACGAATCAGGTCAGAACTACTCATCTGACCCAACCCCACAAACACATTTCTGGTTGAAATCAAAGAGAGTTTTAGCTGCATATGGGTGGTAAAACCGGGCTCTTGAATGGTCCAGTTGTGCTGCATAGTCCCTTCTGGCTTGTTCTTTTCTGGCAAGATCTCCCAAACAGTATCAACAGGGAGTGAATCCCTATCAGGACTTACAGTTTTGGGGCCTCGCAGATGAAATCACCAGAAAAGCGTAGATAATATCCCCACATTTTTGTTTTAGTAATTAAGGCAAGTTTGTTTACCTGTCCCTAACATAAAGTGCTGTGCTTCTCCAACAGAAAGAAGATTGACAGCTAAATGAAACCATAATTTTTCTGACCAAAATTTAACATTTTGCTAAAATTTTTTTCCCCCATTAATGGAGAAACTACATGATTTGTCTATTATCCTGCTTATCGGAGGATTTTTTTTTTTTGCTTTACTTTTATTTTCCAGCACCCAAATGATAATTAGAATAAAACTGACACTAAGCAAACATTTCATAACAATGCTAACAAGCTCGAGATAGCTCTATGTTTACTCATATATACAGGCACACACACACACTTTTCTAAAATAGAGCAGAACATTTGCTTTAAGTACACCTCTGTGTAAGCAAAAAGCTTGGTGTGTCTGGTGTGTGTTTGACTGGGAGGTCCCAGGAGGAATTCAGTGTTGTTGATGCTCCCAGATTCAACAGAATTTCAATCAGAATCCAAAAAAAGAAACCTAGTTTTTGCTCCACCCAAGGATTCAGACTACTTAACTACATTAAAAGCATAGGTCAACTCTTTTGACTACACTTAAGCAGCTGAAGGATGACAGAAGAGTCTGGAAGTAAACAAATCCAGCTAAATGGAAAAATGAGAAGAGCATTTCACACCACATCACCAATAAATAAGCAAACATTTACATGTTGCTATGTGGGACACCCACATAGGGTGGCTTAAAAAAAAAAAATGCTCATGTTTCATTTTATGTGTCTGTTACATGAATTTTGCTTGGAGAGCCTGCGGAAACTGGAAACAAAGTGCATCAACCCACCCCTTACCTTGCTCAGTTGTGGGTGAAAGCACTAGAGTCCTACCCTTGTTCAATGCAAATATGGGCTGTGACTCTTGGTAAATTTTTGAGGCAGTTCAAGTAAAATTTTAATGCTGTAAAATACCTAACTGGCTTAGATCACAGATTTCACTGGGGATGAATCTTACAGTGCTAATCCATACAGAAAAAAAACCTGCTACTGAAGGAGGCATAATTCATAAAAGCTTTTTCAACCAAATTTATAATATTCCTGTCCTGAAACCCGAATATCATTATGCAAGTGTGCATGGATGTCTTTATGTCATATACATACATTTAAACGTGTCATTATACTACACATACACTTAAAAGTTTCTTTACAGTACACACACACGCACACTTTTTCCAAGGCACCCTTTCAGTACAAAACAGCAGCAAATGTTAATTTTACTCCACTTCCTTCTAAATAGAAACAACAAACCCCCCCCCCTATAACACGCCTGTAACCCACCTGTTTGATAAGTTCATTTTTGTTTTTCTAAACTCTAATGGTAGATGGTATTCCTTATCATCTGACAGAAAATAGCAAAGGACCATATGAGGCCATTCTCTTCTCTCACTCAACCAAAAGTTCTAGCAATGTCAATGAAAACTTTATCTTATCCCATAAGCCCTGCAACATTTCAAAGAGCACTTTCCATTTTTCGTTATAGCATTTTGCACAAATGAAATGTTTTGCTTTCCGAAGTTGTGTGCCTGTGCGTTGACTGTGTGCAGGGAATACGACTGATCGCACTGTATCCAGTTAGGTGTCATACAGTGGCAATGCTCTCATCTTATAAATCACTGTGTTTTCCATATGTTTGAATTTTACATATGCTTCAGGATAATCAGTGATTCTGCTGCATTCAGTAGGCTTCCAAACTTGTGGTATGCTGTATTACATGCCATGAACCAATTTAAGAACTATAAAGTATTGTTACTAGTCAGAAATTGAAGTACTACACTCTTTAGTACAGCAATTTTTCACTGATGAAACTGGCACTGATTTTTTTGTAATCAGCAGAGAAGTGTTGTGTTCGTAGCTGCCTTAAAGAGAAGCTTAGACCACACCTATATATTTTTTTAATGCAGTTTTAGTTCTGCAGAAAGCAGGTTTCGACTATGGGACAAAATCCTGTCCATCTTACAGTACACACAATTTACTGATCCTATGCCCAATCCATGCTAAACATAGGAATTTTTCCTATTAAATTCAGTGGATGATGGATCAGGCTCTTAGATGAGATGAATCCTGGGATGGAGTGGTGCTCCAAGCTGGCCTAACTTTGTTCCTGCTAGAACCAGGGAAAATTCACACTGGCAGCTCCTAGTACAGAGTTAGGCCAGCGTCACAGATCTCCTGACTTGACCTAGGGCAGAGACACTGGAAATCCCCATTTCAAGAACAAAAAAGCAAGCAGGATTTAGGCTGTGTTTTGTGCAAGCTACGTAATACACCATGTTTACTGTCCATTGATGATGCGTGTGTTAAAGGCATGAGTTGGGATTTACTTCACAAAAGGCGTTTAAACCTGTAGCTCACTGTTAAACACAATCAGTTGAACCACCCAATAAGATGAAGTGTAGTGGCTTAAAATTTTCGGGTCAGATATACTGCCCTCAGCCCCCAGGTGTAATCCTGACACCGTCAGGAATCCTGCTGTGAACAGGCAGAGGGCAATACACATCCCATTGCTCCGACAGCAGCAAATGTCTTGGCACTGTTCATAACCAGAGAAGACACATGAATCGCATTTGGTACCTCATGGAAAACATGTGAATGGCCTTCTTTTATCAAACACTGTAAACATGTTTGGTTTTGCTCTTGACATGAAACACAAATGTAAAAAATGATCATAATTGATTAAAACATTTCCCCTACGCCCACCCACTAAAGCCCTAAACACCTCAGCGTGTTATAGGAAGATTAGTGTTTTACAAGATAATTCTTTTAAAATGCAATTTTTTTTTTTTTTTTTTTCAAATTCTAGGCAATGCAACAACACATATCTTATAGTACTATCAAGTAGTGTCATCTTCACCTTCATCCAGGTCATAGTTGAGCTTTATGACGGTGCTGATAAAGTCACCAAGTTCTACAAAATCCGCAGTGATAATATTCACACCGCTTTCTCCCGGCTTCTGAGTGCGGACCCACTGCATCATCGCAGGAAGAGCCCTAAGGAGAAAACAAGAACAATAATTACTCATAAGGCAGCAAGACAAATGCATCCAGGCAGGATTTACCGATAGTGACTCCCACTGATCTTGGTTTCTAAGGGTGCCATGTAAGAAAGGACACAGGTTACTGTTCAGGCTTTTTGAAAACCCTTCTTTTTATTATTTCCACAGAGAGTGAAAATTCTATGTTGATTACATTTCAGCTTGCCAGCAGAAAAGAATGAAAGGAAGATCATACAGGCTTACATTGATCCTGCCTAGGGGCAAGGTCATGGACCAGACACCTTTTCGATATCATCTGGCCATGTGACTCCAGGGGAATTCTTTATGGAAAATGAAGTAACGGAGAACTCAAGTCATCTGCAGAGCACTTTTGACACATTCAAGGTAATAACAGAAACTAATATTTTGAGGGACACTTGAGCAACCATGATTTCTGCAATATAAGTATAGCATATACTGAACACCTTTTCTTTCCCAGTATCCTAGCTATGGATTATATTTAATCATAAACCAGTGGTTAGTAGCTGAAAACTCAAAAAGCACCACAGTCATATCAACTCTTTTTTAAGAAGGCATATTTTTATTATGTCAGACCCTTAGCATGGGAATATTGGGGTATAAAAGACGTCTGCCTAACTGGGTATAAAGAAATTCTTCTAGCACCATAAAAATATAAATTAATGATAAAAAGAAATATCTGTGGGAAAAGAAAGGGCTCCCCAGTCCTGCTGAGGAAGTCAAGCAGAAAGATCCCATTTTCACAGGACAGAAGTCAACAGAGTTCCAAAAAACGTACAGATTTTTCAGAGAAAGCGTATTTTTCAGAGAAAAGGTAATTGACCATTGGAACAAACTCCCAATGACTGTGACAAACTCTGCAGCACTTGGAGTCTTTTAAATCAAGCCTGGATGTCATTCCAAAAATACACTCTCGGTCAACCTCAAGCTGCTGAGTTAAATAAAAGAACCTATGGACTGGGCAGGGCCGCAGTCAGTTTAGATGAACATTGTGTTCTCCCTTTGCTCTAAAATCTATAAATCTGTGATTCCCCCTTACCCAGCATGTTGTACAGCCTTTTTCTCAGAAGCAAGGTACATGTAAAACGTTGGACTGATGGTAGTTTAAATCAAGCTGAACATGCTGAACCTAAATCTGCTCCCAAAAGCTTTAGGAAAACTGATCTAAAGAAAACAGGAGTATTAGCAGACACAGATTTTACTTGTCAGTGGCCACCAGGATCAGTCATTTTTAAAAACAATTTTATACAGAAAAAACCCAAGCTATTATAATTACCACTCTCCCCACACACTAAGGTTTTTGATTCAGCAAAATGTGCTTAAATCCAGTGTAAGATCCCCATTTAAGCCCAGCAACACATTGATTCATTACGACTGAAGCACACAAATATATGCACAGCAGCTCATAAAACTGAGCTTAAGCACTCTGCTATGTAATAACCCAGCCAGCATCTTTAGATTTAAGTTTATGTTATCCTGAAAAGCTGCACTCTGTGGAACTGTAACAGGCAAAGGTCAGGTGTTAAATATCCAGCAACGCCAGGACCATTTGAAAAGATCTGCAAGCAACCAGAACCAGGACAGATCTCAGCAGAACAGCATGGACCACCAGGGTGATAAAAGGCAGCTCAGAGAAGCTGAAAACTCCACTGCATCTTTCACAGGCAAGAGAGACTGCTGAACACTAGGCAAAGATACAAAACTGAACTTCTGAGATGGCACTGTTCTGCCTTTGTCTTTAATATCATCCTACTTAAGCTCACAGAGTTTCAGGTTTAAAGGTGAACGGATTGATTGTAGGCAAGCACAGACTTTTTCTTCCCTCCTTCTGCATAAGTTGATACCCTTGATATTTTACTCCCCCTTGAGGCGTAATTAACTTCTTTTGGTGTCCTTTATTTGTTCCAAGGGTGGGTCTGAGGTAATTCTGTCTTCACATCATAGAGTTTGCTGTCTATACACTTAACCTTATAGACTGAAACAGTTCTTTTTTGCCTCCTGTGTTCTTAGTAAGCCACCCTTTAATACTCATGCCTCCTTTTGATTAGCGCTCTAAGTTAAACTCCGTTTGCCCTGCCATTTCATCTCCAGTTAGGCTTCACAGTTAAATGGGTTATTTACATTTTACTGATATTTCATACAGGACAACTGCATGACCCTTTGCTCATATGCAAACTGTTAGATAAAGTCACAGAAATCTTTTGTTCATGAGACTAGAGAGCATTTAAGAATAAGTCAAAAAGCAAACCAGATTATCCAACAAAAAGCTCATTGCACAGAACAGCAGAAGAACACAGAGAAGGTCAGGACCGAGAAGGGCAACGAAGCTGGTGAGGTGTCTGGAGCACAAGTCTTACGAGGAGAGGCTGAGGGAGCTGGGGTTGTTCAGTCTGGGGAAGAGGAGACTGAGGGGCGACCTTATAGCTCTGTACAAGTACCTGAAAGGAGGGTGTAGAGAGACGGGGGTCGGTCTCTTCTCCCAAGTTACAGATGTCAGGACAAGGGGCAATGGCTTCAAGTTACGCCAGGGGAAGTTCAGGTTAGATATTAGGAAACATTTCTTTACTGAAAGGGTTATCAGGCATTGGAATGGGCTGCCCAGGGAGGTGGTGGAGTCACCATCCCTGGAGGTATTTAAGAAACGTGTAGACATGTTTCTTCAGGGCAGTTCCCAAGATTATTGGTTTGTCGTGGGCTGCTGAGTGGGTGGGGGATGGTTTTTTGGTTTGGTTGTTGTTGTGTGTTTAGGTGGCGGGTGGTGTGGGTTTGTTTTGGTTTTGTTTTTTTTGTTTTTGGTTTTGGTTTTGGGGTTTTTTTTGTGTTTTTTGTGGTTGGATTCGATGATCTCTGAGGTCCCTTTGAACCACCACAATTCTGTGATTCTGTGATTGTAAAAAACCAATACCTGAACAAAAGATTTCACTGACCCTCAAGATTTGCTCTAGGCTATGCAACCCTGCTTATGATAGAAATTCACAGAAACAACCCATACAGATCACCTTCCTCCCATAGTGCCATCTTGAAAGTGGATGACATCAATGACTAAGAAAACACACATCGCTCAGTTTCAGTACAAATATCCCACATGCTCACAATAATTATTAGAATAAGCCTCCTTTAACATTCCTCAGGGTGCCTTTGTGCTAGCAGCACAAACCTTGTTCACCCTTCCTTGTAATTTCCACTCTCTGCATGCCTCAAACTAGTAATTGTTCTCATTAAGGGCTTTAGTCAGAAGAACAAACCATGCTGCGTGGCAGCCACCTACACGACTGGGCTCACAGAAACTCAGTATATCCCCTGGTCTCTGTAGATACCCTTGCCATGTGGATAAGAAGTGACCTTGTGCAGGAGTATATGCAAGCCTCTCAGCCTGCAAACCCCCACAGCACCACTGCCTCCGTGCTGGGCAGGTCCTGGGTCTCTGATGCAGGATGTTGATCTCAACGTTTAAGGGTCTTGCTGGAGCTCTGGCACCGATGGTTCAGATCCCAACCCCGCCAAAGCTGAGGACAGCCCAGCCACGTGCGTACAGGCCACACTTGTAGATACTTAAGGTTAGTAATCTCTGCTGTTACTCCACTAACTGCAGAGATGTAGTTCTACTGTAACTACAGCCACAGCTCCATTGTGCTAGTGTAATGATTTGTCCTAACAAAACAGTGTCATGCTGGTAATAAGGACAGCAACGCCACTACACACAGGACAGGCTCTAGCTCTCCTGAGGGCAACCTCAAGTCTTCCAGCCCTCCTGTGCCTCAGCTGCCTCTGCTGTAAATGATGCAGTGAAAGCTGGATGAGCTCATCAGGAGTCCTACTGGCCTCAGAGATGTGCTATGAGTTTCAGCTCCATGAGTATATATTCTGAAGGGCAGGTAAGATGAGAAGTCCTATTTGACGTGCTTGCAGATGGAAAAGCTGACAGACGCCGAATCTTGCAGCCTTTAGCATATGGATCATCTGTGTCCCACAGCCGTGCAGTCCAGCCCTTGAGGCAACAATCCCAGCTCTTGGGAGGAATCACTTCCAACCCTTAGGTGTTGCCAACACCATCATGTAACGTTGAACCACAGGCGCAAGGGGTGCTGCCTGCCTTAGCCTGGATCCAGGGAGGAGAGAAGGTGAGCTTGTCAGCAAAACCTGAGTGGGGAGAAAGAGAGGAGTCTCCTCCTGCCCCACTACCTGGGACACTCTTCTCATCCTGCTGCAGCTGCACCCACCCAGGTTGGGGCTGGCCAGATCCCACCCCACCAGGCCAGTGCAGCACTGCCCTACAAACCAACATCTGAATTCAACTCCTTTTTCCATGTCCTCAGCAGGAGAGGAGGGGCAGGGACACAAGCAGGGCAGGGATGGAAAACCCACAGGACTGGGGGGCTTGAGCAGTGGTGGGGATGGAGGGGAATGGCCCATTACCTGGGTTTGACTATGGATTGAGATCGGTAATATTGGTGAAAAAATTTCTGTCCTGAAGGAATGTGTAGGATATATTATGTATTTGCACTGACTGGGAACCAGGTGGTACCAGACTGCAGCCCCTCACTCCCAGGAGGGACAGAGAGCAGAGGGATGAAAGCAATGTGACTACATGAGATGTGGAAGGACCACATGGGAAGGGCTGTGGTCCAGCCCTAGCCCACCACCTTGGCACCAGCAGACAGATCCACCACACCACCCATGCTGCCCAGCAGCCTCCTGCAGGGGCTCTTGGACCCACCAAAAGGATTGCATGAAAAGGGAGAAAGCGGAGGAGATATGGGCAGTACAGACCTAGTTATGCTGGGCAATGTAGTGCTATGTAGAGATATTTAATGTGCCTATACTTCTTCTGACACCACAGCTTTTATCTCTAGGTGGCACTCAACTTGGTCGGTCTGAGGTATTAATAATTTGGGCATGGCCTGGGTATCAGGGTGGCTTACTTCACACAAGCAAATACGCCCTACATCACAGTTTCCAGCTTTTTTTTTGTTGTTG